TATAAAAACTCCATAAAAGGCATAAAACTGATACTAGGAAACCTATGAGAAAATGAAATGCTTTGGGTTGTTAAGCCTGTATTTCTCCCAGGGTTATAAATAAAATGTATGGAGGAGGATGTTAAATTTATATTTAACAAACTTTGCCAGTCTCTGTGGACATTAGAGTTTTCTGACCCAAGCTTACTGGAAAAGCAACTGGTTTTATGCAAGCCAAAAAACACCCATCAGTCACATGGCAAGATTTTTCAAATATTACCATCCTAGAGTGCTTATCATGACAGTAAAACACTGAAATTAAAATGAGTATATTTTTCCTGAGTTTCAGCTATTAATTTTCTCTAATTTCCTTGGAGGAAAATACTTCTGAAATTTACTTTTTGGGGAGCTTTCTAAACATAAGAAAACTCTTTAACACTATGTTTTCCAGCAGAATTCAGATAGACTCACACAGAGGGAAGTTTTGATTCTGTACATCTGAAAGAGGCCTTGCTGTGTAAGCTTTTTCAACCTAATAAGCTCCACTGTGAAGGTTCAAAATGAAAAGTTGGGGCATGACCTTCAGTACTTAAATCACACCGACTGACTCCATCTTGAAACACCTATCTATTTCTTGACAATTATTTATGTGTGTGTTAACACATTATGTAGAAACAGAGTGATAAGATACACACTTATCATTACCAAACTCGTAATTGTTTGAATTGACTCTAGTTGATTAATTCAGGAAGTGCTGTTTTATTTGGTGTTGTGTCTGGGGACTCCAAAAACTTGTATCTGAAAAGATTATTGAGATACTCCATATTTAGTCAACTGAATGAATGCTGTGGGTTAAGTCCAAATTCCACCTTTAGGACAAAAGCACTCATTCCCCTCCCTACTGGGAGTATTCGTGGCTGACATCTTTCAGCTGTACTCCCCAATCATGAGCCCTCCTCACTCACAATTGCTCTAGATCAGAGTTCCTTAAATGATATCAGTCCTTGGAGCCCCTCATGGTATTCCTTAAATTAAAAGTGATACCTAACCTACTGTTTAATAAGCAGCTCCAACAGCTTAGTAAGTATTCAAGTCTCATTGGGCACTACACAACTTTTCAAACTCTGGAAGACTGGACACCGCCACCCTTGTTTTTCTGTTTTACATTGAGTTTCACATGTTACTTGCCTTTTAATCACAGTGACTACCAGACACCTGGCTTTGGGAGGAAAACTGCAATCATGCATGGAAATAGTGAACTGCCTCGAGCTAGTAGCTCCAATTGAGTCCTACAACACCCCTGAGTCCACTGAGGAGCACTGGGGCAGCCGGTGCACAGTTTAGAAAGCAGTCCTGAGCTGTAGAGGGTTGGCTCACTCTAAGTCACCCTCTCCCAAGGTCAGGCCATGTCAGGTGACATTGAGGATGAAACCAGTGCAAAGCAGTGTTCAAGTCCCAGGGACTTGCCTGAGTCTGGAACACTCTAAAGAGCCACTGTAGTTCCAGAGCTCCCCGTGGAATCCACTGAGGCCTCTGTTGCAAGGACATTGCCCTTGGAGTCCTTCTTCTTCCAGCCCTGGGTCTTCTCTTCCCTGCAGAGTTGATTCCCAGGGTGTGACCAGTGAACTTCCCGCAAGCTGGTCTGCATCTCAGAGCCCACATGCCAGGGAACCCAACCAAGGAGGGGCATTTAAAATGGAAAATTTTAAAAAAGAAAAAAATCATTACATTTTCCATCTAGTCAAGTAAAAATACACTTCAAGTAATAGTTATTTTTTAAACACCATTTTGCAGTTTGGTTTGGGGCTCCATAAACACTCAGCAACTCAACCTCATGTTTTTTTTTTTTTTCCTTTTCATGAAAATCCAACAGCTTCAAAAACAGCATAGGATTAATTCCATTCCACAGCTGCTGTGTTCTCCCAGAGTTTTATTTTAGTGGTGGGTAGAATGACCATATGTTACACCTAACCAAGGCTCTACTGCATGTGCAGCTAAAAAGAGCTCCCATCCGTATTGTGTTTGCCATGATATTCTTATCTACAGCTGTGACATGAAGGCTTCTCAAAGGCTAACCACAGAGCTGCAATTTATTTCAAACCTAGTTATTCAAATGGAAGCACCATGAGGGGGAAAATTTGTCTGTTATCCCCTGCATACAGCAATGGCCAGCAAATTACATGCACTTATAGAGAGTGCCTATAATATTTATACATGTATACATACATACACAATACATATATATGTATACATATATATACACACAAATATATATGTATGTACAAATACTTATACATGTATACATATGCATATTTATATTATATATAAATTTATACTTTATAAATTTAAATACACCTTTTGGGGAGCTTTCTAAATGTAAAGAAAACATAAATATAAAAATACATATGTATACATGTATAAATATTTGTACAAATATATATGTATACATGTATAAATATATAAAAATGCATACCTGTATAAATATATATACCTATATATATACCTGCATATATATACCTGTATAAATATATATGTATACCTGTATAAATATAGGTATACTATGTACACATATGTATACATATATAAAAATGTATACCTGTATACATATATAAAAATGTGTATCTAAGTGTATACATATATGTATACCTATATTTATACTGGTATACAATTATATATATATATATATATATATATATATATATATTTGTCAAATGACAAAAATCTCCAAAATCCAGTTTTTACATCCTCTTTAAGGATGCTGATTTTCCTTCAATGTAGCCTTAGGACAGAATTCATTAATCTCTCTTAAATTATCAGTTATGACTTTTGTGCCAGGTGTATATTTTTTAAATGTAGCTCACCAAAACAGATATGCTCTGCTGATGAGAAATGGCAAGAGACCGACCCCAGTAATGCAGTAATATATCCATAATATACCATAGCAGCACATTTCAATGTTAAAAGTTAAAGAAATAAATAGTGATTTTTTTTTTATTGCAGCCACAAGTACAATGACATAAGTTGGCAACTGGAAGAAATGACTGCTTATAAATTTACTATATGTTACGAGCTATTGTTTTAAATGGCCATGAAGCAGGTATCTGCTAGACATTTGTACAAAGCTAAGAGGTTCATAAAAATATAAATGAGCAGTGGTGCTGTGTCTTAGATCTTATAATTTAAGATCTGACAGGACACAAGATTTCAGTTTTAATTTGAAGAATATACTAAACTGTACCAACCATGGCTATAAAGATAATGACACATACAGTCTATCAATTTGTCATAATCACTAATTAAGAAAGCGATTGTATTATCATTATTGTTGTTATTAAGACTATTTGAAAGAAAAAGGCAGAAGCTGGGTCAATAGGGTTAAAAGTTAACTCAGTATAATCAGAGTCAGAACGAGGTTTCTCATAGAACTCATCTCCTGAGACAACTGGTAGAGAATGATTCCACTGCAAAGTAGATGGACATTGGTTGAATTAAATCAGCGACATGAGTGTAGTAGGTGCAGCAATATCTCCCACCAAACTCTAGAAACAGCTATAACCGCATGCAATCTTCTATCAAAAGCCCAAGAAATCAACTGCTTACCACATAATGAGTTTTCCTGGCCACACTAGGTGACTGTTTAAAAATGAAACACAAAACAGTACAGGAGGAAAATTGGGAGAACTTCTTATGGATCGATACTGAGCTAAATTTCATGGCTGGTGGAAAGAAAAGTTCATTTCTCTGGTTGTCTCAGTTTCATTCCTTGTTCTTCCCTCTCAATATTCTTCTGTTATCCACAAGAGAAACATTCAAAAGAAAGCAGTAGAAGAAATACCTTCTCCCAACCCACCCCGAAGAGTAAACCCTACTCTGTGCCACTAAAGACCTCTCATAGTGGTCGGGGGATTCCATCAAAGCTAAATTGAACACAGGATTTTATGTAGTCTAGTGGATATGGACCTGCTTTTCAGAGTCATTCACTTGAGTTTGAATCTCTGCACCCACCTGTGTGACCTTGGACTCACTGCTTAATCCCTGTAAACACAGTCTCCTAAAGAACCTGCCTCATTGAGTCATTGTTCAGATTAAATGAAATAATCTACTAAAGTAATGATGACAGTGTCTCATACCCAAACTGATGATGGGAAGCCAAATATCAGCACAGCAGTAGGAGAAACTGGAAGAGAAAATGTCTGGCACTGTGCCAAACAGAAAAGATTTTTAAGAGGTTAAACCTTATGTGGTTAATGGCCTTTGCAAGTTGATACATTACTGGGAAGGATAAATGAGAAAACTTAAAAAACTAATAAGTGAATACAGGAAAACATTGACACTATTATAAAAGAAGTGGAAATGGTGACAGTGGGAGCTATGAATTCTGCAGATGTAAGTCAAGGAGGGCAGCATGAAGAAGAGAACATTTGAGCTGGATCTCTAAGAATGAATAAGCATTGGTAAGACAGGTAAGACTAGAAAGGCTAGTATAAGAAGATGAGAGTGCACACCACGGATATAGAGACAGGAAGAGAAATAGGTTTGTTCAGGGACATCTGGGGTCTGACTAGAGCGTGCATGAACAGGGAGGCGGCAAATGGGATGACTGCAGCCTAGGGCTAGGCTGTGAAAAGCCCAGATACCATTTTTTGTTTGGTTTGGTTTTGTCATTTTTTATTGGTACATAATAAATGTACCAATTTTCAGGGTACATGTGATAATTTACTACATTCATAGAATTTGTAAAGATCAAATCAGTATAACTGGGATATCCATACCTTAAATATGTGTTTTCTTTATGCCAGAAACACTTAAATATTCTCTTCTAGTTATTTTGTAATAGACAACAGATTACTGTAATCTCTGGTCACCTACCCATATGCTGTTTCATGAGTTTGCGGTTCATCCTCTAGGTTAGCAATAGCCAAACTTTTGTCACTGCCTAATTTTTTCAGTTATAATTTTATTGGACCTCCAATAAATACACATTTATTTAGAAAATACATACAGTGATGTTTTATTATCTCTGTAGCTCACTTATGGGACCTTGCATAAGATACTTCTCTCTATGACTGTATTCCTCATCCATAAGACAGAAATAATAGTGCCATTTTCATAGGGTTATTATGAGCATTAAATGAGTTAATAGGCAATATATTTTAGAATGGTGCCCACGGTCTAATAAGTTCTAAGTAAGTCATATATTATTATTATATCGTAAAATATATCCCAAACAGAAACTTTTAATTAATAAGAAAATATGAAGTAAATATATTTTTAATTGTGTGATGTGATTAAGGGTACAAAAGTTTTGACATCACTAAAACATTAATTATTAATAACCTTAGCCAGATAAATGTGATTTAAAATGCAATACTACTTTCAACTATTTTGGTTTACTTGGTGATAAAGGAATTCATGGCTCTGTTTTAAAATTATGTTTGTCACTATAGTACTAGGTTGTAATGCTTTTAGCACTGTAAAAGACATCATAAGGAATCTAAGAGACCAAAAGAACTACATTTGTAGGTGCATTTATTAGGTAATTTAATCATTGTTCAGTTCTATCCACCATTTTCAGTAATTTTTTTGCTAGTTTCATTTAATAAATTTTCATCTTCACTGATATCAAGTTGTTCTAAAAAATAATCAGAATATACTGAAATTTATATTTTTAACAAGTAGGCTGAAAACCACTGAAAATTTTGTTATTTGGAAAACATTAAAGTACATTTATAAAGTTATGTTTCTAAGACTTCTAAGGGAATAAATATGGGAATTTATAGAAACAAAGAATATTTGGCACAAAAAAAATCATAAATTAATTCAGTCATTTCCAAACTCCCTCACTTTAAATATTCTCTACATTCTAATTTATTTTTAGATTCATTTATGTTTTTATTCATTTTTATAATGATGAGAAACATTAAATATAGATTTTTTTTCCAAAATCTTTACAAGTTAGAAATCTAATGATACTCACTTGCCACGACAGAAAAGTGAGCAAACCTGGAACAATTTTCTTTTTTGAATTTAAAAAAAATACATTATTCATCTTGATGTTTGACAATTCTTTGGGTTCCTTTGCCTAGGACAGCCAGAGAACATCTATATTGTTCAAAAAATATTCATGGTCATTTCCCAACTCAGCACAAAATATTGTCCAAATTCTAGACTAATTTAAAAGTTCTTATATAAAATTAGCTATATCAATACAACATGCTACCCTTTGTGCCTGTCTGGTTTAAGGTTTTTAATGTGTAAAGAACTCAATAATGAACGAGGGGGAAATAAATAAACTTCATGTGGGGTGGCTTCTTATTAAACTTACCCTGAAAAATTCTTTTTTTCCCTCATCAAAATGACTATTTCAATCAGTGATTACACTTGCAAAATTTATTTGTTGCTTACAGTGAGTACATATCTTCTCTGGTTTAATTTTCCCTTAATGGCTCAACAACAACAACAAAAAAAAAGTTACAGTCCTCTTGGCAGGGATATATGGTCCCCAAAATGGTGACATTATTTCCAACTAGAGGTGAGTTCTATGTCTCTAACCTTTCAATCTGACTGGACTCATGATATCTTCTATCTATATAGAATAGCAGAAGTGATTTACAAGGCTGCCTCTTAAAATTCTATCTTCTGTCAATTTCTCTTGGAATAGGCATTCTCCAGAGGTTCCATTTTGGGATGCTTCCTCCCAGAAACTAACTGACATGCCACGAGAAGCTAAGCTACACAAAGAAGGCATGTGTAGGTGCACTGTTGACCATCCCAGCTGAGCCAAGCCCTCATCAAGGCATTAGATATATAAGTGAAATATATAAGTGAACAAACTTCCAGTTGATTCCAGCCCCAACCATTCTAGTCACTTCCCGGCATTCAATTCTTCCCTACAGAGGCCCTGGAGTTCATGGAGTGGTGACAAGCCATCCCCATTGCACTCTGCTGAATTCCTGACGCATGGAATCCAAGAGTATAATAAAACAGATGTCTTATGCCACTAAATTTGGGCTGGTTTAACATACAATACTAACTGCAATAGACCTTTATGTAGTTCACAATTTAAATATAATCTAACAAACCACATAAGCTCTGAGATGTTGGAACATCTGCACTTTTACCTAACCATTTGGCAAACCTCCCATGAACAGTTTGTTCTACTACTTGTTCCTTCAAATCTTCAGCAGTATTTACTAAATATGGTCCAACAGTATTTGTCAGCAAAGGAATACATTTCAATGGAATGCTATAATGTTGGCTACATACTATTTCAGGCACCATTACAAAGGAAAGAGAAACACACTTTCTCCCAGTTGTAGGTGGATAATTATCTTTTGTTATAAAGAAACCTCAAATAAGCTTCTAAGCACATATCCTCAAATTTAGTGAAAGGCAGTCAAGTTACTAAACTGAAAGATGATTTTAAAGATTTTGAAGAAAAAATAAGCGGTGTGTCCTAATGTTCTGGAAGCTTATTTTTATTATGGAAAGTTAAACATATACAGTCAGGAATATGTAATATACCATCATGTATCCATCACCTTACTTCAACAATTATCAATACATGGTCCATCTGTTCTCATTTATATCTCTAACCTCTCCTCAACACTTCTAACATATTTTGATAGTAATCCCAGATATCCTATTATTTTTATAAGCATTTCTATGTGTGTCACTAATGCAAGGGTCAGCAAACTACAGCCTGCAGGTCAAATCCAGCCTGCTTCCTCCCTGCTTTTATAAATAAAGTTTTATTGGAATCCAGTGACACTCATTAATGGGTTGTCTATAGCTGCTTTCCCCAGCAGAACTGAGTTGCTGGTAATAGAGAACTTATGAGCTGAAAAGCTTAATATTTTTATTATCTATCTTTTTACAGAAAACGCTTGTCAACCCCTACTCTAAAGATAAAGAATCTTTATAGGGGTGGGGTGGTGTAAATGCCAAGCATAACACACCTTGCTAATCATTATAGCTCCATACTTAGATTAGAGAATATGATTAAGTAATAGCATCAGACTATGATAAGGTCATGGGCTTAATATAACCGAAGAGTAGAATTTATTGTTAATTGTGGTCTAAATAAGGTCACTTTAAAGTGATTTGCCTGAGTTCTTGTCAAGCCTGCTTTGGCTGTTACTGTTTTTCCTCACAACGTGGAAGACAGAGAGTATAGACTGAGACCTGGAGAAGCACATCTCTTCCATTTTCTTCAGTTTCATTTGTGGTTTGCATTATTATGACTGTTTTCGATGAACTACTTGTTTGCAGGAATACTTATGAAACATCTGCCCATTTTATGCAGATCAAGGAAGACTAGAGGATCCCTCAGCTGTCCTTTGCAAGCCTTCCGAGCTGTGCAAACTTCACTCTACTCCTAAGACATCTCAGGTACCATAGAATGTCACTGCCAATAGCCTGAGTAGGCAAAAGAGGTAATTTGTACTTTATATATTTAAAAAGCTTAGCATCTTTTACTATTTTTTTAGATTAAAAGGTGTTGGCCAAAGCTTGGTGCAGGCACATGAATAATCATTACGAAGTTTTCTCTATGTCCTATTATACACTTGAAACATTTCACGTGAAAAGGCATTTTGCTCCTGCACCCCAAGAGACTGTATTGCAAACCCCATTTTGAAAGCTTGTGGAAGAATTTTACTACTCCCTTCATTTGCACATAGAAAATCCACAGTACCTGAGCAACTAGACTAACGAATTGATAAGCTACAATTTGTGCTGCAAATTTTAGTCTTTATATGTGATGGCTATATGAATGAGCCCAGGCTTTCACTCTCCAAAATGCTACTTTATCTTATAAATCACATAACCCTATTTGATTATGTTTTTTGCCTGGACCAAACAAAGAAGGACCCATTTGTAAGCTTGGTATCAAAACATAAAAGTTGTTACTTTTCTGAGAAATTTATTAAACAAATACTGGTATTAATTATAGCAAAAAAAATCATGTGTACATTATTTTCTGATAAACTTGTGGCATTTTCTTACTATTGGAGTTTGCGGCCAGTACAAGAGGCGCAGACATTATTATTTACTCTAACTTGTCAAATGAAAGGGACAGGCTAGAAGTTTGCTTATTGCCACCAGCAAGTCAGTGGTTACTTGATGAGAATCCAGGAGGATTTGAAAAATTGCAAAAATCAGCCACTTAATTCTAATTCCTAAGATCAAGTCACTTATACCATTTGTATTCTGACATCTACTCTACTATTATCAAGGTTTACTATTCAAATCATCTTTTAAATATTAAAGTCTTATTGCTTAGATACAAAGCTACAGATGTGTGGCTTCATTATTAGGTAGGTGGAAAAACTCCATTATGACTTAGAATCAAAAATTATTCAGTCAGGTGCAGTGGCATGAGCCTGTAGTCACAGCTACTCAGGAGGCTGAGGTGTGAGGCTCACATGAGCCCAGGAGTTCAAGGCTGCATTGAGCTAGGCTGCACTCCAGCCTGGGTAACAGAGCAAGACCCTGTCTCAAAAAAAAAAAAAAAATGCTTCTAATTAAGAAAAATGACAATTTATTAAGTATGAAGTGCTATACACAGATGATTAAAACACAGTATCTTGAAATTTACTGCAAATGGACAGAAATAAATAATTTATCAATTGTAATTTAATAAACAAAATACCATATTTTAAGAACTGGAGTCAGAGAGGAGTGATTCATTCTACTCAGTGGAATTATTAGAAGGATTTACAGTGGTGTTTACCTTTAAAATGGGCTTAGAGAGTTAAATAGGAGCTTGTTAGCCTGATAGATAGGTGAAGCAACTTTGTCTCTTAGCAAAGAATATGCGAAGGTGCAGAGCTATGGAAAGTTCATGATATATTTAGTGGTTGGAGTATAAAGTACTAGGTGGACAGTGGTGAGAGACAAAACTGTAATGGTAGACTGAGGCCAAATCACATCACCAAGGAGTCTGTGTCTTATCTTAATGGCAATAGGGAACTATTGTTGTTTTTTGGGGAACAATAAAATAACAAGAGGCTTTTAGGAATAGATTTCTGGTACTGAAGATGAATTGTACTATGGGATATGAGAAGGTAGCCAAATTTTGCTCTAGTATTTAGTCTTACAGGATTCCATCTTGGACTCATGAAGGAATTGTTTTTCTGTCTATAAATCACTTTAACAAGCAACACAATTATTTTTGTGAGCATCTTGCTGAGAAATAAGGTCTCCAAACAAAGAAACCTCACTGGAAACAAGACATTTTGGTGTGTAATAGAGCTGAGATTCAAGTTTTTTATAATTCTCAATCCCAGAAACTAGCTCCCTCTGGCTCTCTAATGAAGCTCTTCTAAATTCTTTCAGTACAATCATAGCTCTTCAGGTTTGGGTGAAAGTCTGTTTCCTACTGAATATAATGCCTTACATTAAACCATGCATGGAAAGGCTTGTTTGTTTTTTTAAAGTTGGTTTGGCTGTGTTCAATACTTAAGCAAGCTTTTAAATCATTTGAAATTGAACCTAACGTAAAAGGCCAAATATTTAAGAAACCAGGTCGCCTATTGGGCAAATATTTACACAATCTTTAAAACACTCAATATTTATTCAGCCGACCATAACTGTAGTTTCCAAGACATTAGTCAATGTAAATACATGCTGAAAAAGAGAGAGAAATGACTCTAGAAGAGAAGAAGCTCTTATTGGAAAAGCTGTTCTCATTTTTAATTCCCTGAAGTTTAATATACTCCAACCGAAGTATTTACTAATAAAAAAAATGTTTCATTATAGCTCTTACTCATTGCACAAGAGGCAAGGAACCCCATATGACTGTTAAAATTTAGTGAGCATGTACACAAATTTAACATTGTCTCAGTGCCCAGAACCATCCTCTTAATCTGGGGAATTTTCAGTGCTGTACCATGGTGGTATTATTTGCACAGGTCAATAAAAAGAGATCAAGAAACCCAGACAACTACAATAACCCACTTTTATTTTTTGCCAGCACTGACTTTATTTAGTAGCATCAGACATATTCTTGCTAGAGATATATATCTG